GTGTTGTTAATGGTTTCATGTGTCTTCTCTAGTTGTTTCTTTTTTATTAGAACAAATGTGTCATCTACATACTGGATTCATACTTTAGGTTGTATGTGGGGAAGTGCTATAGCTTCTAGGAGCTGCATTACAATCTCTGTTATGAGTCCTGACTCTGGTGATCCCATGGGTCTAATATAACATTGCTGTAATACTGTTGTAATATATTTATGATACATTGGTATTGTTGGTGGTCCACATCATACTCATATCTATGTTAATATTGAAAAATCAACATAGAGTAAGAAGAGAACAGTAAACTATTGAAATTGAAACTGTATAATAAGCAAAATAATATTGCATATATTTTGTCAGCTTCAGCACATAGTTTATCCTTAACATGATAGTTTTGAAAGATAATAAGGTCACAATTATTATTTTTTGTCTAGACACGACATCAACGTGGAGACACCCACCCATTAACTCTAGAAGAAATATTAGATGAAACACAGCATCTAGATATTGGACTGAAGCAGAAACAGTGGTTAATGAGTGAGGTAATAAAAGCAGCTGTTCAGGATGCCAGTTTAAATAAATATGATGATCAAATAATAAATAATACTTTAAATAATAATTTAATAAGAAACTGTTATCAACTCTCATGCCCCAAACTGTCAGTGAAGGCAGATGTATCAAATATAAGTTTATTGCCTTCTGGTTATACAATTTCTGTATTTTATTTAACAATAAAGATTAATTTGCCCTAGAAGTTTGTTTTCTAAGTATATATAATGTAAATGAATTGTGTGAAGAAAATATGTAAAAAATTTGTCAGGGAATAGAAACTTTGTAATCTTTAATTTGTGTGGTATTATATCTTAATTAGTTTTAATGTTGAAATTGTATAAACAAATAGCAGTGAAGATCACTATATATATATATATACTTTGTGTATTCTCAGATATTTTCTATGATTATGATATTTTCCAAATGTCTAATAGTTATTTTACCCTTTCTTGAATTAAAATTTAGTATTTTACTTTTACACATGCTAAAAATAAAGGATAGGATTTACAACGTTTAAATACTATTTAAGTTAAATTAATAGATTTAACAATTGAAAGTAAAATATGAAAACAGACCTGTTTTAAGACTATCATGATGAAGAATGTTCCTGAAATGTATGCTGATAGCACAAAGAGAATGTTATTGAAGTTTCTGTACCCAGCATTTTTTCTGTAATTTTGAACTAATGTAAGGAAGAAACAAGAGTAATGTTAACACTGTATTTTTGGTTATATATTTCTTATTTTTTGGGACATACAGACTCATCTGATCCTCAGCTAATATTCCACAATTGTTATGTTGAGATACATAGATGCACAGCAGATAACTTGCCTTGGATAATTTTTCTGCTTCTACATGATTAAAAAGTGTAAATACTAGGACAGTAACTCATGCAGAGACAAAACAGGCAACTTCTTTTGGAGTCAGATAATTTCTGCTACCTCTGCACTGAGAGTGATTGACTAATTCAGTCATTCATGAGACACAGATACAGCAAAACATGCTACAGGTAGTCCTCTACTTATGACCACAGGTGGGACTAGAATGTTCGTCGCTAAGCAGTGTGGTTGTTAAATGAGTCATGCCCAATTTTACAATCTTTTTTGCCATGGGCATTAGGCAAATCCAGCTTCCCCCATTGACTTTGCTTGTCAGAAGTCCCCTGGGAAGGTTATAAATGACAATCACATGACCCCAGGATGCTGCAACCAACATAAATACATGCTGGTTGCCAAGTGCCTGAATTTTGACCATGTGACTGCAGGGACACTGCAACTGTCGTAACTGTGAGGACTGACTGTAAGTCACTTTTTCAGCACTGTCGTACCTTTGAACGGATGTTAAATGAATGGTCATAAGTCGAGGACTACCTGTATTCTAAGGAGACTGATCAGAGGTGATTCATATAGACATGCCCCAGGCAGATCCTTTTTTTTGGTTGTTAATTTCTCAAACTTGTGCAGTATGTAAATACTGTGATAAATAGAAGCACACAGTTTAATAATTATTATTTCACAAAGTACATATATAGAAAATGGCATGGCATTTCCTATCAGCTGAGTTCTTTTTTGTTTTGATTTGATCATAGGCCCTTGTCAACAATCCTAAAATAGAAGTTATAGATGGGAAATACGCTTTCAAGCCTAAGTATAACTTAAAAGATAAAAAGGCCCTGCTGAGGCTTTTGGATAAGCATGATCAGCGAGGATTAGGAGGAATACTTTTGGAAGATATTGAGGAAGGGCTACCTAATGCACAAAAAGCAATTAAGGTAAGCAATACTTATAACTTCATCTTCCAAGTTTGTTAACTGTTTACAAGGCATTTGGATTAGCAAAAACTATAATGCAGAGCAACTTTGGGCATATGCTCTATGCAAGGTTCTATTTTCTGACAGGTGATGTTCAGAACTTGCCTCCATAACTTTCCTTCCCTCCTTTAATGGTTAGTTCAGCTGTCCTGAATTAGGTGCAGAGGCAGTTTAAGGGAAGAAAATTGGAAGCAATTGATGTGTACTAGTGTTACTTTTCTTTTTTAAAATCCTGGTATCAAATTCGCAGGTCTCTTCTTGAACAATTTGGCAGCTTCCGAGTCTGAAAAAAATAGGTCTCTGTATCCCTTTGAACTGCAGCTATTGCCATTATCTTATTTGTTTTAGCAAATCAGTTATGCTATGCTGGGCTATGTATATCTTGTCAGAAATAACCCCTAATGAATTCAGTGAAATTTATGCCCAAGTATAGTGGCTCAGCTTAAATGTACCAGATTTGCAAATGGAAAACTGATGCTGACAGTACAGACTCTACAGTTGAGAAGTTCCCCCTTGTGGCTGAGAAAGAGTTTGAATTCTGGCTTTTCATGTCTAACATGCATTATTTTTGATTAAAGCCAAAAGCTTAAGATAACATGTTCTTTCCTTCACAAAATGACACTTAGGTATTGAATTGCAACAACAGGCACAGTATTTTTGTACATATTTGCTCACTTTAAGCTATTTGGTATTGTGAAAGCACTGACCAATTTACATAATTCTAAACAAGTTACACAAAAAGTTAATGAGGATAAATTATTTTTCTTAATTTTTAAAAAATATTTCTAAAATAGTTGTTCCCCCATGGCACAGTTTCTCAAAGCCATTTGAAGCTATTATGCATGCTCAAAGGATAACTAGCAAGGCAGCCAAATTACTCTTTCCTTATCCAATATAGGAAGAGAATGATTAGCTCCTTCTGGACCCAGTCTTTGTTAATAGTTTTGATATCTGTTATCTATTCTTCTAGAAATAATGGCAACGCTATATTACATAATAAGCTTTTGAAAACCTAAAGCAAGCAATAAGTCACTTTAACAATTACTTTTTCTTAAGTTGCTAATCTGTGGTTTAGTGATTATAGGGTTGTGGAGAGACAACAATTGCGAGGATTCTGACACCCAGGTTCTAACCCATCCTCAGCCATAGAACTAGATTGGATAGCCCTGGTCTTTACTCTCTTTCAGACCAATCTTCCCCATAGAGAGAAAAAAAATAAGAAGTATAATGTATACCATACCCTGAGCAGGATAGAAATCTAATAAATAAACAAAAATAAATGTTGAAACATAATGGAGAAAATTATGAATACATGTCCAGTATTTTCATCCAATCTGTCATAAAATGGTTGCAAATGATACAGATTTGTTACTTGTATAAAAGGAGCAAATCAACTGTAGGCTTCCACCTCAGTCTGGTTCTAAAATGGGCTCTGGATGCTGAACATTTTTCATACATATATTTGCAGTTTCACCTGTAGAAAATCTCAACATTCTGGAAATCACAATTGACATACACTTACGTTTCTGTATTTATATTTGAGGCAGGCTTTAGGAGACCAAATCATCTTTGTTACCCGTCCTGATAAGAAGAAAATTCTTTTCTACAATGATAAGAGCTGTCAATTTACAGTGGATGAAGGTTGGTTTTCTCACTGAAATTATAACTTTGCATTTATGTCATAAATATATGTGCTAAATCTGCTAATTTAATTGTTTCAAATGCCTGAAATATTATTTGTTTGTGTCTCAGTTCATTTAACATTTAATAACTTGAGTCTGAGGGGGACGCGGTGGTGCAGCGGCTTAATGACGCTGAAAGTTGCTGGCCAGAAATGGTCG